GTTTAACTATAAAGTCACATTAAGGGTCACTTTGTGACCTGAGAATATAATTAATTGATTGGATCAATATTAATAGCCTGTTCCTATAAATATGTCATGTATAATTAAAATTAGTCAGAGGGATTGTAACATATCACAGTGCCATTTGGCTTTCTTTATTGAAAAGGGTGTTTTATGCAGTGGTGATGTAGCTGTGTCGGTCCGCTTATATTAGAGAATCAAGATGGTGAGGTAGTATCTTTTATTGGACTGACTTCAGTTGGTTCAGTGGACCTCCTTTCTCTCATTTTCTACAGCTCCTCTGTGGACACAATATAATTTTATTTTCATTTTTTTTTACAGTAGCACCCAAAATGCATTAGGTACCTTACAATCGTATAAGAAGTCAGGATTTACATTCTGAAAAGATAGTTTTCAAAGAGTGGGTGAAAGGGGGAAAATATAAAAGTGCATGTGTAACCTTTTGGATAGTCAAGTGTGTCTGCCTTAACACTGCTGCTTCACCATTATGGTTGATTACCGTATATACTCGTTCATAAGCTGAATTTTTTTAGTAAAAAAGGGAAGCACCAGAGAAGGGGGTTGGCTTATGAACGGGTATAGAGAGGGAGAGGTGGGACACAGCCCCTCCCCCCAACAGAGGGAGCAAGGAGAGGCAGCACAGCCAGCAGAGAAAGAAGGGAAGAGGCGGGGCCAGAGTCTCTCCACTTCTGGCCACGCTGCTCTCCCCCCCAGCCTCCGAAGCAGCTGCAGCTCCGGGAGCAGGCTGTGGCCGCGTCGCCCGGCCCTCCGGAGCACGCTGCAGCTGTGCTGCCTGGCCCAGCCCGCTGGAACATGCTGCAGCCGCGCTGCCCGGTCTGGCCCGCCGGAGCAGACTGCAGCCGCGCGGCCCAGCCTTCCGGAGCAGCTCCAGCCAGGTCAGAGACATCCTCCCTTGGCCCTCCCCAGATAAGGTGGGAAGGGATGGGATGGGGAGAGTGTGGGGGTCCCAGGCTAGGGGTGGGGTCATGTGAGGGGTGGTCACAGGAGTTACTCCCCTGACTCCCAGCTTCTCCCCCCCAAAAAAAATTTCCCCACCAGTTGCTGTCCCAGCACGTCAGGGTAAGCAGCTGGCGTGCCGGGACACTTTGTTTACTTAGGTTTACCTCCGTGCCCGCGGACGCTCGAGGTAAACAAACCATCTTGGCCCACCAGCGGCTTATCCTGATCGCCTGGGAGCCAAAGTTTCCTGACCTCTGAATTAATAGGGTCAGCTTATGAACAGGTTATAAAAATTTTTCCATTTTTACTTATCCATCTTGGGGGGGTCGGCTTATAAATGAACTGGCTTATGATCGAGTATATACGGTAATTACTTGTAATCCTCCTGGTAGACATGAGACTTTTGGTTGTGTTTAGTAATAGCTGTTTCCAATATTTTATTAATGTTAAGAGCCCATGAATGTAATAATTGCTTAAGCAAAACATGAGATACCTTATTCTAGTGTTGCCTTAACTACAATATGCCAACCCAGAGGTTTACCAAGCAGCTAATTTTGTTTTCTGAAAATGCAACCAGACTTTTGGGGAAATTCTTCTAGAAAATCTTTGAAACAAGTTCATTACTCCTTGGGTTGATTATTCAACTGGTGTAAAATGATATAATTCTATTGACTTCAATGGAGCTAGCCAGATTTATACCTATTAAGGATCTAGCCCTTTAAGTCTGTTGACTAAAATCTGCTAGTCGAAATTGGCAGCCAATTTTAGGAGCCATTCCTGATATGTGTGGTATAATTAGAAAAAATGGTACATATGCATGTGGGACCACCAAAGCTGACTTTGTCCTTTATCTGTTAATACATGCTTGAGCAGTTATGATTATAATTGAGTACTTATCTCAAACTTTCTATACAGTGTATAGTATATTAGTTGTGCAACTCCATCCTCCACTTGCTACTTTGTAAATGTAAATGTTTTAATATATTTAAGATGTTAAGATATAGCCAATAATTGGACAATAAATTGATATTAATTTCTGTACTCAGTTACAGACGTTAAGACTCAACACCCATATTTTACTTGCAGCATGCAATCCTGTCTTTATATAGTGCTCTGCAGCCTATTTAATCTTTCTCATTTTATAGCCTGTGTAGCTATGTAAGTATGTTAGACATCTGTCTATCATTTGCAAGATTTTAGAACTTTCAAGTGATCCCTAGTTATAAGGTTATTTTGTTATTATTCTTCCTTAATATGTAAGGCTAGGTAAACTGAATTACGAGACCCATTCCAAAACTGAAACTATAGACTCAAACCTTTTTTGAGTTTGATAAATTTTGATTAGTTTTTCTTCTTAGTTATTTTTTCATTTCTGTGTACTTCTGCACTGCCCAATTCTGGTCTGGACCAGAGATGAAAGTGCTAAAATCATATAAGAGTGACTGTCCTTGAGAGATTACCAGCCCAGGTTTGCAGCATCAAGAGGTCTGGATAAGACTTGAATAAGCATTTGAGCTTTTGGGTGCGTATCAGTATCAAACCTTCTGAGGTTTGCCCATCACTAGTAGCAGGGCTTGAAAAATTTGCTGGGAACCAGAAGTTGATGCAAAAGAAGGGGCCCCATCAAGGCCCCATGAGAGACTATGCCCTGCTGAGAAGCCAACCCCCAATTCAGCTCCTACCTGTTTGGAAGGGAGAGGGTGCTTGGATTTCTGCCAGTGTGCTATCAATGAACCCCTTATTTTATTTTTACTTTATTTTGGGGGGGTATGGGCAGCTTCATATTTTGTATCAGCTTTAGGCTTGCAGGGGTTTGATAAATTTGAAGCCCTAATTCTATTTAACTGCTGGAAATGAGAGAGAGCTTTCTACCTCTCCCACTCCTCCATAGCCTCCTCATTGCATAGAATGGTAGTGGCTCTCTGCTACTTTAGTCTATCCTCCTGGCTGCTGAGAAGAGGATAGGACGAGAGGTCTGTCTATTCTACTCTATTCCTTCATCAGCCTCCATTTTTAGATAATTCTGTCTCTGCTGATGCTCATAATGGTCCCAAGCAGCAGAAACAACCTTGTGAGATTGGAGCGATTGTTGACAATTTCACTGCTGCCCAGTAAGTACTGTATTACATCAGTGAAAAAAGCTAGTCTTGCTAATGTCATTCTTCTGCTCATTGGTAAAGCTGTAAACCACAGCAGAGGCATTTGGGCTATCTGCAGACTGAGAAAGCCAACAGTTCATTGGTTTACATCAATCTCATATTTGGAAGATTTTCTTATCAACCGTAAATGTAGAAAATGATTAATTATAAAGTGGTAGCTTGAATTTTGCAGAAATTGCTGGCTGAGGTTCTCCCCTCACTAGGGAAAACTCTGTTGCCACTGGTGAGTGGCTGAGAGGATTTTTCAAGATCTGGGGCCTGGTCTACACTAACAAGGTAAGTCGATTTAAGTTACGCTAGTTAAGTTATGTAAGATACGTAACTTAAGTCGACGTAGCTTAGATTGACTTACAGTGGTGTCTGCACCACGCTATGTTGTCGGGAGACGTTCTCCCGTCGACATAGCTTCCACCTCTCTGGGAGATGGAGTACTGAAGTCAACAGGAGAGCGCTCTCCCATCGACTTATCGTGTCTTCACCAGACCGGCTAAATTGATACCCACTGCATCAATCACAGCAGCGCCAATTTAGCCTGTAGTGAAGACAAGCCCTGGCTGTCATGCTGGCTGCATGCCTCCATTTAAGTTGTTTAGAGGTCTAAACAAATCCTTGAAGAAATTGTCAGCTTGAAATCTAGTCAGATTGAAAAATGATTGTAAAATTGTTTCAGATGCTACATCTATCCCTGAGTTTCCCTGCCAATATTTGTGACACAAACAAGGGGAACTGATTTTCTGTACAATACATTGCAAGTGAAAGTGACTTAGACAAATGCATGTGGTAAACTGAAAAAAGAAAATTTTTTTTTCTTTACTCTTTTTGTTATAATAGTGTATTATGTGTTACTTGTAACAATAGTAAGTAAACATTTTTCAGATGGAAGTGAAACTTTTAAAAAGTTAATTGTGTTCCTCTAATAAAGAATATTGTGTTATAATATGGTAAATATCAGTTTCCCAAGAGTAGTTTTACACCAAGAGAGAGTACTCTGATGTAAATATATTAAAACGTATTTTCTTAATGTTGCCAATAACATCTCTGATTGAAAGGATTTCTTATAACCTACAAGGGTTAGTAAAGTTGCGAATGCTCAGCACCTGTCAGGGTGCTCAGTAGCTTGTGGCATTGGGCCCTAAAATGAAAACTATTAAATTAAATGGTATGAATACTGATTCTATAGGCCTGTTTACTGAACTCTAAACTTACTGCAAATACTGTACTTTTTCTTAATATATGTCTGGAATTTTCTCACTTTAGACAGCCTGGTATCTGCTTTACAGGTTTCTAGCTCACAGTTTGCTATATAGTCAATTAGGGAACGTTAACAAACAACTGTATCATAGCCATTGGCCACCTTCTTGAAATTATATTTAATCAGTAATACTTGATAGCTAAGGCCTTTGGTCACATGCATTTTGTTCATACTGTTTTCTCTAGCCCACATAGTTCTAATTATTCATTTTGAAATCTAAAACAGTAGATAATTAACAAAGTAAACTAATTGAATGTATATCATCCCCCCCTTGTGAGATTGTCAGTGATAGTTGTGGCCCTGCACACATTATGTGTATGTCTTCTGTTCACCGAACAGGAACAAACTGGTTGCACAAATGATGAAGTAATTATAGTTTTGGAGGCTAAAACGTTCCTGACGTGACCTTAAGCAATATGGGCCATGCTGCTTTTATAACTTTTGTTTGCTTGTGTATTTTTTATACTCTTGAAACACAAACCTTTGATTTTATTTATAATGGTTTTAAATCTCATGGTAATATTTTAAGATTACTGATTGTACTTGGTTATATTTTAAACTGTGCTAGATTGTTTGATTTTTTCCAATATTTCCTTGTATTTTTGTAGGACCCCAGCTGAATGCACAACTAGAAGGTTGGCTTTCTCAAGTACAATCTACAAAAAGACCTGCTAGAGCCATTATTGCACCGTAAGTTTCATATCTGTATTTTAACATTTGCAATATTAAGTCCTTTCTTCAGATCTTTCTTAAAGTATTGTTTTTTGCCTAAGTAGTATGCTGACTGGGCTCCAATTAAATTGGGGTTCTCAAACTGGGCATCGTGATCCCTCAGTGGGTTGCAAGATGGTTACATGGGAGTCGCGAGCTGTCAGCTCCATGGAGCTGACAGCCCTGAGCCCCCATTAAATTAACCCCCCCTACCCTGTTTTTAATTTATAAAGGGGTCTCACTCAGAGGCTTGCTGTGTGAAACGGGTCACCAATACAAAAAGTTTGAAAACCACTGAAAATACTCTGAATATCATGAAAACTGAGGCATAAAACCTGTACACAGTACAATATGTGATTGATTATTAGTTTCTGTGGACAGATGAAATAATAAATGCATTCCTTTTCCCAGAAAAAGGTTTGTTCCTACAAGCCAGTTCAGAGGTGATTTAGTAGAGTGATAGTAAAAAGATTGCAAAGTCATCAGAAGAAGGGACTTCGATTCTTTCTTTGTCTGTGTAGCACCAAGCACAGAATTGGTACATTAATAATAATAATGGCTACCTAGATTCTGTAAACATCTTATACTAATGTGCATTTTGACTTGTGGATCAGTTCAGGTTTATCCTTTTTTGCTTCCATTTTTTTTCTTTATAAGAATTTCAGTTTTAAATGTTTTTAAAATAATATTTGATTGGGGTTCTAGAAAAATCTTTGTATGACTCTGCTTGGTATGTCTGCATCTGAAAAATGCCTTCAGAATGATTAAATAGAATTTGTACCATGCTTTCAAAAAAGTTACTCTTTGGGCTGTGAACAAGCTAGATACAGTTAAGCCCAAATGCTAATTCTCTTCAGACATTTGAAATAGCAGGAAAAAGTGGCTTATTAATATTCCTCCTCGTCCAAAAGAGCAGTGACACTGACTAATTCTAGACTTCTAGGTAATGCATGAGATAGTTGTCTTTTCAATGGTCAAACAGGACCATGAACTAAATACACCTCTACCCCGATATAACGCTGTCCTCGGGAGCCAGAAAATCTTACCGCGTTATAGGTGAAACCGCGTTATATTGAACTTGCTTTGATCCGCCGGAGTGCACAGCCCCGCCCCCCCGGAGCATTGCTTTACCGCGTTATATCCAAATTCGTGTTATATCGGGTCGCATTATATCGGGGTAGAGGTGTACCCTGAAAGATCATGCCCTTATTAAATACTATAAAAGTTCTTAACTTTCACTGCAGTGGTGAAGTAATGTCAGGCCATAGAAATCTTTTAAGCCAGTTTTCCTTGTGTTCCTTCAGTCTCTATGAAAGCAGTGAACACATTCTGATTGAACCTTAGCCCCATGCAAAGATCAAAGAATATCACTTCTAGTGCAAACCATAGGGAGGGTGAACAGATACTGGAAATAACAGTTGTAGTTTGGTCAGGAGTATATTCTTATTCCTTTTGGGACTATATCATATACTAGCACATCAAAGACACTGAGAGCCATAAAATTGTATTGTTTGCAGGAATAACAGTACTGCAAAATTTATAAACACTTGTGCAAGTGTCTGAATTACCAAAGTAACATAGCAAATAGGAAAATAAAAAGAGCACAGCTATTTTGCAAAAAGCCTAGCCATGTTTTTAAAACTATTAACATAGCAATAAAATCTTAGACTGGCCATGCAGCCCTATATAGTTTTCTATCTGCAGGATAGATTGGAAAAATAACAGCTAGCCATTTCTAAAACACATTCAGGTAGAATTGGCATAGGAGACATAAGATGACAGAATAAAAGAATGAGGCCAATCCAGTTTACTATTAGAGGGGAAAGATATGTTAAGGTAGGATAATTTGGTTATAGTGACTTTTATTTAAATGTAATGCTTGATGTATATTTATAACAATATTACAGAGGTTACAGTAAGAAACTGGACCCAAATCCTGCAAACATTATGGAAGACAGTGTGGTCAAGTGGACAGATACTAGACTGAGTTCTGTTTCCAGCCTTGCTACTGATTCTTTTTGTGACCTTGGGAAAATCATTCATTTATCAGTGTCTCTGCTTTCTTCCCTGTAAAATGGGACTGCGCTGCTTACCTTCCTTGATAAAAATGGATGGAGATCATTGAATGAAATAAGTAGTGTAGAGAGAAATTACAGACTAGGTAGTCAGATTTTTAAGGTCACAAGGGATCATTGTGATCTACTCTGACCTGTATAACAGCCATCAAATTTCACCCAGTGATCCTGCATTGAGCCCAATAATTTGAATTGCAGCATATCTTTTACAAAGATAAACCCTCTTGACTTAAAGGATTTCCAACTCACTGTGTAAGCTTGTTTCAATGTGTAATTGCTTTCACTGGTAATTTCTTATTTCCAGTTTGAAGTTTTCTGTCTTCAACTTCTAGCCATTGGATTTTGTTATGCCTTTGCTAAATTAAAGAACCTTATACTGTCAGATATCTTCTCTCTGCATAGATGCTTATAGACCACTTCTGTTGTAAGATTGATCTCCTTACGTTTCTTGTTGAAAGGTGTTTTACAGACCACAAATCATTCCTGTAGCTCTTTTCTGAACCCTATCCAATTTTTCAACATTCTTTTCAAAGTGTGGACACCAGATCTAGACATAGGATTCAAAACAAGTAGTCTAAATGACTGGAAACCTTTTGGCATATGATGGGTCTGGAAAACCAGGAAAGGGAAGGAGCATCTCCTCAGCCAGTGATGGCCATAGAGTGTGATAGGAAATGACTGGGTTCAACCCCATTCCTCTCATTTAATTTCCCAATAGTTGTAACCATTACTGTGCTAGATTCCATGCATTTACCCCACACCCATTTGTTCTCTGGCAGATGTATTCCTTTCATTGCCAAGGTACATCCCCTCGCTTCCTTTCCCACTTGCTTCCCATCACATATAGTAAGTAGTCCTTTAGTGCTAGAATATAGGTATTGCTTTCACCTTCTTCTTATTCATTCCTCTGTGCTGCTACAAAGTGCTAATGATGTACAGTTGTATGGTGTGCAGCATATTGACAAACATGAAGACCTAGGTGACCATGGATTTGTTATAGTATCTTAGATAAGTAATACAGCTTAGTTAGTGCCAAGGGCTGCCTTTAGCAATGAGAGGTACAATGCCTATAAATAGTAGTAAATACAATATGTACAGTATATCTGGGATGTCATGTGCCAGTTAACCTTCAGTTTTGTGTTTTTATTTAGGTTTTTTGTCTTACAAAGATTTCAATTTCTTTTGCCATTTTCAAATAAGCTGTCAGTTTTGTTACTACTTTAAATAGCCTTTCATAAGGAAAACAGTGGAACTTCTTCAAAAAATAAATGTTTAGAACATATTGTAACCAGCACATCCCACATATACCTAATATTGCCTTTTAAAAGTGTCAGCCCTGGTTAATACTTGCCAGCTCTTATTTCACAAGTTGATGTTTTGATCATTCTCTTAACAAGTTTTTCTTTTTAGATTGCTAATATTAATAGGCTACTTGTTCTTAGTCTTAAACCTAAAAGTTAATTTTAAAATCTGTGTTTTGTAGTCATGCTGGATATACCTACTGTGGGTCATGTGCAGCCCATGCTTACAAACAAGTGGATCCTACTATTACGTAAGTAGCACTAAAATATCTCAGTTTTTATATATATATATAAAATTTACAGTGGAAAATGTTCTTTAACAGCATAGGTTAAGCTGACTGCAGCTCTTCTGATTATGTTCTGAAATGTTGAATTTTCAGTTGTGATTGATAGTACATTTTATTAAAAATGGTCATGTTTCCTGGCTAAACTCCGCCAACTGGAAAGGTGTCAAAAACATATTTTCATTACTTTATGTTTTAGACCTTAGCATACTGCCTAACCTTTATTTTGCCCTCCGGTAAGCACAATGCGTAATTTAAAAATAAAAGTATCAAATATTTAGTGTAACCCTGTTGGAGATGAAAATTTGTATTATATTTTTTTCTGAACATTTGGGGAGAGGAAACTTATTTAAACTTGACATTTACTAGGTCTTGCCTCTTAAATTGAATGTACTCTTCTGTCTGTATTTTGTAGTAATAACATTAGTTTGATATTTATTGTTTGTTGTTTATGATACCTCTCAGTTTCAAAGAGAGTCTGAGCTGTTTCTTTGGTTACAGTTACTTTTTTAAAGCACATGAAAGTAAGATCTTAATCCTGCAATAAACTCTGTTGGTTCATGGGTCTACCCCTATAAAGCTCATTGTGGGATTAGTGTCTATGTGTAGCAAGATTCTGTTTGCTCCAAATGGGCCAAATTCAATGGCATGCCTTGATTAGTACCTTACGCTCAAGTTCATATTTCACATGTAGTCCTACTGATTTCACTGGAAGTGTTTGTAAAGTCAGGTGCTATTCTGTGTGAGTAAAGGTGGCAGAATTTGGCAAAATATTTTTAAAGTACTATGACTGTTTCTCATGGTTTTATTACAGTGTAACTCCATTGAAACTGGACTTGACACAAAACTGGAGTAATTCAGTGGTAGCTCTTTATGTGAACTTGATCCAGCTCCCTTTCATAGTCAGTGGACGCACCCTCACCGGCCTCAGTGGAAGTTAGACCAAGCCCTGTATAGTCATAGATTTTTAGGATCATTACAATTTTCCAGTCCAGTGGTGCTCAAACTGTGGGTCAGGACCCCATTTTAATGGGGTCACCAGGGCTGGCTTTAGACTTGCTGGGGGCTGAGCCCCACCGCCTGGGGCCGAAGTCAAAGCCCAAGGGCTTCAGCCCTGAGTGGCAGGGCTCAGGTTACAGGCCCCCTGCCAGCTTGGGGATGAAGCCCTTGGGCTTTGGCTTTGACCCACCGGTCTGCAGCAGTGGGGCTTTGGCCCCCCACTCCTGGGGTCATGTAGTAATGTTTGTTGTCAGAAGTGGGTCGCGGTGCAATGAAGTTTGAGAACCCCTGTTCTAGTCTGATCTCCTGCATAACACAGGACATAAAATTTCACCCAGTAATTCCTGCATCAAGTCCATAACTTCTGGTTGAGGTAGAAAATATCCTTTAGTAAGACATCCAGTCTTAAATTCTCCAGGGGTCTGTAAGTATAATTACACAAAAAAACTACATTAAAAGATCATTGGTGCAAAGTCAAGAACTCAGAAAGTAGAAGATGCTAGAATTAAGGTTGCCTGTACAACACAATTAGTGACCACCTCTGAAAAGTTTTGTTAAGTGACATTGAACCTCTGTGGCAGAGGCAGAAATAGAATCCAGTTCTCCAGGGCAGCATTTGGCTGCCTTAACAATGAGGCAGTCTTTTCTCTTCCTGCAGTCCTTGGCCTCATTCACTACCCACCTTCCAAAGCTGGCAGCTCTTTCACAGAGCCACAAACACGGGCGTGTACCTGGTGTGGGTCACAAACTCCCCTGCCCCTTTTGTGGCAAGAGGGAGAGCCTGGTACACATCTATTGCGTCAGGTTGCAGCCCCTCTTCTAGCTCCTCCAGAATCTCTTATTGAGATTCTGGGTGTACTTCTCCCCGCACCTCCTGATTTTGGCAAACCCCATCTGTGATCCCACTAAGTCGTGAGATCTACTTTTCAACTTCCTCCTGGCGCTGGCCAAGATGACCATCCATCATATGAGGAAGAAGAAGCTGGCTGGGTGAGGGGGTGCTCTGCAACTGTGGGGCCTACTTTTATTTCCTCGTCCAGTCACACCTCCAGGCAGAGTTCCTCTGGGTGGCATCCACTCACTCCTGAGATGCCTTTGAAGAGTGATGGGTGCTGTCGGGCGTTTTCTGCTCAGTGTCCCCTTCTGGTTCCCTAATTTTTACCCTATGACCTTCACTTACCTCTCTGTTTTTTCATTTGTTGTCCCCCGTATTCAGTTGTGGCCCAGGTCCACTGGTCCCTCCCCCCTGGCTAAGGACCTAGGCCTGCCATTTTCCCCAGATCTACAATAGGTACAAACCTTCCAACTCCTGCAACAAATGAGGCAGGAGTCCTACAAACAACAGCTTCCTTCACTATACAGCCTTGACTCATCCCCAAAGCAGGTCCAGCTTGTGCACAGAATGAGGTCCTGTGGAAAAAATGGTATATGATCACTGAAGTCAGTGGGAGTTACTAATTGTTCCAAATGTACTTGTTCCGAAAATGCACAGGCACAAAACTGGTCTGCAGTTGCCTGCTGAACCACAGGGCCAGTTACTGTAGTTTAAAAAATGAAAATCTGCATGTATTTTGCTAGTTGCAGCATATTTCACAACTTCCTTCCATGTATTAACAATCAATTCTCATTTAAAGTATCTTCAGTGTTTGATTGAAATATGCATTTTGAAGCTAAATAGTGATACTTTAAGATAGATAGTGTTAGAAATAATAAACCAGTTTCTTTTTTGTTTCATCAGTGGTTTATCAGAAAAAAAGCAAACCATGGCCAAAAGTAGTAAAGTTATTCTGATTCTTTCTGAAATATTTTGAACAAAATGAGAACAATTTTTTTAAAGGAAAACAATTGATAACACTATACGGGTATGTTTTCTTCATTGACATTTCTAGAACAAGTTCCACTTCCCAGATTTAATGGCATTGAATTGCTGGATTTTTTTCTACGTCACTTATTGTTTACCACATTGCTTGTTCTAAACTTGCAGGAGCACCTCATTCTGCCTCAGCTGAGGAACTGTATTTTCTGGATAGATTTCAAAGTGGATTGATGCAGCACGTCAGCATTTTTTCCTTTGCTTTGCTCCACCACTGCTTGCACAAAAAGCAAAGCACAACAAAACTGGTGGTATCTACCTGCTGAAGCACTATCATAGATTTCCCATGCAAAGGCAAGACTGGTTCTGAAAATTTCTCTGGCAGGAAAGACTGACCTTTAATCAGGACCAGAGACCTGGTGAAATGACTACCTGTTGCCCACAACAAGACAAAGCCTGCAGTGCCAGTAGTATGCTAATGACATGCAGGTCTATGTAGTTTTTTCATGTAGCTGACTCACAGATAACAGAGTGCTTGAAGGAGACTAGAGCATTGGAGAAAAAAAGCAGCTCGTTTAAATTGAACTCAGGAAAGACTGTAGTGATGTGAATCAGAAGAAGCTTTGAGTAATTGATAATAAACATACCACCCAAGCCTCAGTGGGTGGCATGTGCCCTCAGCTACTTAAGATGGTGTACAACATGGGACTCATGTTGGACTCATCACTAACTCTGGAGAATCAAATATCATCTATCAGTAAAGGCCTGCACTACGGTAGGGATATTTTCTAACCAGCTCAGTTAAACTAGTTTTCATCATCTAAAGGAGGCTTTAAAACTGGCTCGTGCTGTAGTGCAGACCCTGTTTTAGGTGGTTTAAGGTGGCCTTAACCCATTTTTACTGAACCAGCTTCAAGATCACCACTCAAACACTCAGCACTTTGCAGCATCAGACCCTAAGTGACCAAGAATTGAACCATGCTCTTGCTCTTGGCAAAGTAGAGCACTACCATTTGCCACCAGTTTAACCCCCCAAAAATTAGAAAAAGTTTATCATTTTCTTTTTCAACTTTTTTTTTTTTCTAACACAGTGTTTTGTGGGAGTACAGTTGTTCTGATTTTGGTTTTTGTATTAATTATCCTAGCCGGAAAATTTTCATCCTTGGGCCTTCCCATCATGTGCCCCTTTCCCGATGTGCACTTTCCAGTGTGGAGATATATAGAACACCTCTGTATGATCTTCGAATTGATCAAAAGAGTATGTATATAGTAAGCTTGCGTCTTTCAGATATCTGTATTTTTTAAATTATTTGTATTACTGCAACACCTAGGAGCCCTAGGTTTTGGGTGGGTGGGGCGGGGCGTGTATTTAGAAGAAAAAGTCCATAAATTACCAGTGCAAGATAATACTTGTAACCTCATAAACAGGTAGAGAACTGTTTTTGTCATATTCAGCAGTTTGTGTTTTGTGCAATGGCCGATGGCTAAGGTGCTATATTAATAAACATACACATCCAGCAGCAGCTCATTTGATCAACTTTTTCCTCACCAATATAGAATCATATGGTCAGTGGAAATCTAAAAACACAAAGATTAGGTGGATGAGTACATGTTTTAATATATTTTGTGTACAATTTAAATCTTTTATACCATAATGACTGTAGAAAGCATCTCGAAGATGCTAAAGATGTCGCTGCTTTACATAATGCATTCTTAACTGTAAGATACAAACTTAATTAAAAATGTTGTAATTTGGTTTTAAATGCAAGTTGCACTTCAATTAGAAAGCTACAACGGAGAATGTTCTGTGATCATAGCCCCCAGAGGCAGGGTGTATTATTTTAGTGTGCCACTTCTAACAAGATAAGCTGTAATGTAATTTTTGGTAAAAATTTATTTTAATGAAGCATTTTAATATATTTTTAAATCTTTTCAGTTTATGGAGAATTGTGGAAGACTGGAATGTTTGAGCGTATGTCTCTACAGACCGATGAAGATGAACACAGTATTGAAATGCATTTGCCTTATACTGCTAAAGCCATGGAAAGGTACTATGGCTAAATGCTTATTTTGCAACACCTAAAATTGTATATTTGAACTGCATGTGTGTTCCAGTAGGAAGAAGTGATCCTCTTTTGGTGGGAGAATAATAATTTTTTAACAGAAAAATTTAAGAATACAAATTCGATACTTGAGATTTCTTGGTAGGAAGGAAACTGGGAGCAGGGCAAGCAGTTGAGCAATCAAATCTGACCATCCTGTAGAAAGAAAGTAGTTAGTATTGTATATTGACTCGTGAATACAGTTAATTTTGGGGGAAACTTCCTAACAGTGAAATCTACGAGTCCGTAAATTGTTTTTCTACTTATTGTAAGGCCAGAAGTGAATTTTTATTTGCAAAGCTAGGTAAAATTAAATATCCCATCTGGAGATATACATGTAAAAGACTTGACAAAATACTAATACTGTAAATGTACAACAGGGAACAGTCCTGCCTTGAAATATGTAAGAGATGACTTAATAAGTCTTCCATATCTCTAAATGTTAGGATTCTGTGACTGGTTCACTGAACCATTTGCCCCGTTTAAAAAAAAGTTCGAATAGTGTTATATGTTTTCTATTGAGGTTCCAAAATTTGTATATACTTTTGGCAACTTAAAAATCAGTGTCCAGTTGATAGCTACTTTTGTTACAGGTGATCCCTATGATTACTATAACTAAAAGAGAGTAAGGAAAAACCCACAGGGTTCAGGGGCTGTCCCTGGCCCCCCACGCTGGGCTCCACTCCTGGCCCCACTCTGGGGAGGGGTCTCTGGGCGGGGGGCGCTGGGCATAGGGGTTGGTGGGGTGGGCACTGTGGTTCTCAACCTGCGGCCCAGGTAACAAATAGGTTGAGAATAAATAGATTGAGAGCCACTGGTGTAGAAGGTCAGCATCACTAACGTCCTATCTTGCGGCTTAAGTACAGTTTCAGTGGTGTGTATTCGTTGTGTTGCTCCTCTACATAGGGGACTTTGCCTCTTTGATTTTGTCCGTAGTCACTTGTTTGCTGTTTCCTCTATAGAGTTGGTTTCTTCTGTTGGTTTTGTGGCTTTCTCACACTGCAACTAAGGAGAGAAAAAAGATTTTTGAAAATAAGAAAATGTTGCAAAATAGCAAACATTGGCAGGGGTCTTGGGGAAGGTGTAGTATCTAAAGCTATTTTTAATTGTGTTTTTTAATTAACTACATTTCAGGTCAATAGTGTCCTTTTAAGGGGCAAATTTATAATTTCAGTTATCATACCTTGACGAAGAACTCTATTCTTAAAATTAATATTTTAAATATGAAATCTTTTTTCTTTTGCTTATAAGCCATAAGGATGAGTTTACCATTGTTCCAGTATTGGTTGGAGCACTGAGTGAGTCAAAAGAACAGGAATTTGGAAAACTCTTCAGTAAATACCTAGCAGATCCTAGTAATCTCTTTGTGGTTTCTTCTGACTTCTGCCATTGGGGTAAGTTACAGGTTTTCTTTGTATTATAGCAAAGTGGTAGCTACATTGTAGCTATATTTGAGCAGGCCCTTTCATTAAACATTCTTTGATGCTTAGAACTTTATGGTAAATTTATCCTTTGAACGTAAATGTTTTTCTGCCTCTGTAAGGCCAAAAGGGAATTTTTAAAATTAGGTTAAATTAAATTTGGCAGCCTTTGAGTTATCAGTGGGATGGGAGAGGGCGGTAGTGAAGGTATGTGTTACATACTTCTCTGCATTATTACAGCCTGGTAACAGTGATTGTAGTTCTTTGCTCTTATGTTGTTCTTCTGTGGATTTAAAAGGAATTTACAAAATTAGTTAACTGATTTATGAAACATGCCAACATCCCTATGATGGAAGTAACTACCCTGTTTCCCCGAAAATAAGACATCCCCCGAAAATAAGACCTACTTCCAGTTTTGCCTCTCGCTGTAATATAAGACATCCCCCGAAAATAAGACCTCCCCGATAATAAGGCCACCCCGGAATATAAGGCCCCGAAGCTCCAGGAAAAATAAGACCTCCCCTGAAAATAAGACCTAGCGCATCTTTGGGAGCAAAAATTAATATAAGACACTGTCTTATTTTCGGGGAAACACGGTATACCTATTTACAGATGCGTAAACTGAGGCACAGTGCTCATGTGAATTGCCTAGGATTATACATCAGGTGTTGGTGGCAGAGCCAGAATCCAGGAGTTCTGAGTTCCATTTTGTTGTGTTAACCAATAACACTTCGTTTATGTAGCTTTTTAATGTATGATTATGGCTGATAAAGGGACTGTTTCAAAAAGGTACACCCTTTATTACTGGTTCTGGTGTGCAGGCAGGAGAGAACATCATAACTTTCAGATTCCAGATTGATTTTGCAGGGCTGTCAGTGAGAAAAAACGTCCATTTACTTGTAAACTGAGCAAATTTGATATGAAGTCATTGGTAGGCAATTAACATTGGACCACACAATGCCATTTTTACATGGTCATTTTTCAAAGTATAACTGCACTTTAAGTGGTATAGTTTTAATTTCTGTGTTTCTGGTGAGGTTCTGTGGTGGTGTTTGGAATGGAACAGAAAGATATAATGGAAAATACCATTCTTTTATGAATATCTTAAAGGCATCACTTCCAATTTTTGATTTACAATTGATTTTACGTTAGATTGGCTACCAGAGGTGTGGGTTCAGGTGTACTTTGCTTTTCATTATAATTGAAATCATTTTGGGGAGTGTTCTAGCTACTAATCTGTCCCTTTTTATTTTGTACATGATTTTTGTTTCAAGGTCAAAGGTTCCGTTACAGTTACTATGATGAATCCCAAGGAGAGATTTATAGATCCATTGAGCACCTAGATAAAATGGTAAGATTTTCAGATTTGGGGCAATTAATTGTCTAATAAGTTTCTCCTTCACATGACTTTGAATGCTTCTAGACTCTCTAAGAAAATATTCAAGATTTGATACGTTGTTGATTGTATGCTTTTTCTCTCTCACTTGTCACACAGAGGGTTTTTAACTACTGTACTGTAGTCAGTGTATTGGCAGTTGGTATCATACACTTTATTGAGTGTGCACAATGTATAGTGGATGTAATTATTGTGATACAGGAGGGCCAGGGAGCAGTGTTAGAGGGGAAATATATAAGCCCAAGGCTAATTAAGGAGTGGTTCCCTGTAGACTAGGGAGGATGGCTACAGGTTAATTGGAGCACCTGCAGTCAATTAAGGCCCTGTCAGGAACCTAATAAACCCCCCCTGCTTCAGGCAGATAGGGAGAAGGAGGAAGGAGAGAGGACTGGAGCTTGGAGGTATTCTGCAAGACTTGAAAGATCAGAGAATCAAAGTAAGGGAGACCCTGCCCCAGCAGGGGAGGGAGACTCCTTCCCCCAGCGTCTAAGGACCGAAGGTACCCCACCCAAGGGGGATGAGGGTAAGAACCCGCAGGGGTTGAGAGGGCTGGGGCTCAGAGTAAGGAGCAAACCCAGACCCCTCCCCTGCTTCCCTCCTTTACCACCTTCCCGGGCCAGTAGCGGGGCCCTCGGCGCCCCAAGAGCAGGGGCAAGGGTTGCATCTTAGCCCCCCACCAAGAAAAGTGCAGGACCCACCATACTAACATTGGCCATCTTGTCACTTTATGTAAATATTCCTTATGAGAAAAAATGCTTGCCTGACCGCTCGAAATTCCCTCAGTGTAATTTTTCTGTTTAAATGCAGATATATCTGTATTTAGGGGAAGCAATAAACCTTATGACTTAGAACATAAAGTTTTGTTAGCTTACATTTGTAATAGTGCTAGTTTCATTAGACAGGGATCATACCTATGTTGTTGCTGGTAGTTTCAATAGATTTGATGCAGCTATCGTGGGGAAAAGTTAGGGGTCACACTGACCAAGGAAACTAGAGCCACTTGTGTTACATTGGGACTGTCACCCACATCCTCTCCTTCTACTGTAAAATACGGAAGGAAAAAGCACCTGCCTAGGTCTACAACTGCGTTTCTGTAGAGGTTTAAGTGTAGACCCTCCCGTCACTGTAGTTAATCCACCTCCCCAAGAGATGGTAGCTAGGTCAACAGAATTCTTGCATTGCTCTAGTGCTGTGTAGTTAGGGGCTTAGGTCGGCTTAATTACGTTACTGAGGGGTGTGGATTTTTCACACCCCTGAGCAATGTAGTAGGGCCCACCTAACTTTTTTGTGCAGACCTGGCCGAAGAATCCAGCCTATATTTGGGTCTGGATTTAGATGTGCTCCATACACAAAAGTCAGGTAGCTTCTGATCTCTCTTCCAAGAGAACGTGGATGATCCCAAATCAATTTCCCAAAAGCAGCAAGACCTTCTAGGTTTTTTTAAGGTACTGAAGTGACCAGTCAGTCAGTATCCACTTAAGGAACCTGGAGGAACGCTAGAAGCCTTTGGTGTCAGTTACTCCTGGTTGTCTCAGATTCATATGTCCTCATCATTTTCTGCGGGGAGCCGCAGAATGTACGTAAGAAAAATTACTTCAACTGCCTTTCTTTAAGAAATGCACTTAAGTTCAACATTATCATGAAGATACATTGCAGGAAATCCAATACTTCCTTGCAGAGAATGTCACTGAGCCCATGTTACTGCGTCAAGGAGGAAAGGGTATTTATTCCAGGTTCTTCTTTGTCCCAAAAATACATGAGGGCTTAGGCCCATTCTGAATCTCAGAGATCTAAATTATTATCTAGTTGGAAAAAAATGGTCTTTGGAAACCAGTAGGATTCTTCTAGAGCAGAGGTTCTCAATATAGAAGGGTCGAATCATACACGCATTTAACTTGCACAAATTCAATTATACGCGCTCGGCAAAAAAAAAGGAGAGGAAAAATAACAATTTAAATAGTGCGGGCTGAGCGAGGCGGGTGGCTGGTATCCCTGAGAGACTGGCAGCAGGCTGAGTGGCTGCCCAGCCACCGGCCCCGATCAACCCGCTGAGGGTCTGGGGTTCCGGCTGCTGGCTCCTGCCAGCCGGGGTCCCAGCCGCAGGCCCGCTCAGCCCGCTGCTGGCTGAGTGAACGGAACCCCAGGCCGGCAGTGGGCTCAGCGGCGGCCGGGACCCGCACCCTGCCATTAAAAAAAAAATCGGGTCCTGTGCCACCTTTGGCATGCATGCCGTAGGTTGAGGACCCCTGTTCTAGTGTATACTGTGTATACAGTGGAGTCACATCTCACGGGGGTTAGGTACTGTACTTTATGGTAATTTTCACTGACCTTAGAACCTAACCCCCGCGTAAGATGTGACTCCAGTGTATGTGGTCTGTGAAGCACTGGCATGATGTGGAAGATGCATGGTCACGTAGGCTGGCTTCTAACCTTATTTATGGCTGTTGTATGGTGTTAAAAGACAGAGAAAATACTCTAAATACTTTCCTGTTATTACATTCTTTGAGTTGTGTCCCTGTGGGTGCTTCACTTCAGATGATCAGAGATTTTCAATAGCAGTGCCCGTTTGGTCTGTGCATGCTCCCTGCACATCCTTGTGCCCCATACCAAGGATATATAGGGCTACTTCGGGCAAACTGCTCTCTGTTTCTTCTCAAGTGCCTTGGCCTGAAATGGAGCATGTAGCATGACCACTTCTATCATTCAGAGTTTAGCTTTAGAATCCTCTAGTTTTTAGTTTAGTGTAGTTATTTACTTCTCCTTTAATTCATCTGTATGCTTTTGCGTGTTTTTGTGCTACAGGCTTGTTTTATACTTTTTTGCCTTAATGGAGGAGTTCCTTTTGGGGTTCATCCCCTTTGCCTCCAGGGTATGCCAGGATCTCTGGGATTTAAGCACTGTCTCACTTGTCAGGACCCGTCAGTGATGCACGTTCCGAGTGTATTCACTGGTTAGGGGGGACACACATCCCTGAAATGTGTATTATCTGCTCAGCCTTTAAAAGCAGAGCTAGAAAAGATTGGGAGATTAGATTCAGGCTCCTGATAATAGAGCGAACCTTCCTCCCAGCTTCAGATCCAGGCCAAGAAATACGCCCCATACCTGGGTCTCTGAGCAAGCATAGTGAGTGCCCCATCAACCTCCGCATTGTATTCGCATAGGCCTTCATAGGAGAGATCAGTGGTGGATACTGGGAAGACTCATAAGAAGGGGAATGCTAGTTCTCATAAAGAGCCTATTTCAAAGCAATCCCAGTCTCCTCAGAAAAAGACCATGTTGGAGACTTTATGTCCCAGTCTGGGTACCACTGAGTCTCCAGGTTGCTTTGGTACCAGTACTGATTCTCGGACTTCAAGCTCTTACACAGGTGTGTTTGCAAATGTTTCCTTTGCAAAAAAATTAATTTAATTGATTTATTTAATAAAGTCGTGGAGAATTCACTTGTCCTCTGAAGAGTAGTTATGGTAAATTTGAAGACTAAATTTAATTTTTAAAGTGTGGAATTGATTCAGTTTTGCTAGAAATGAAAATTCCAACATACATTTTAACTGCAGTTATTACTGACTGATCCATAATTTTGTAACATTTGAAGAGAGAGTGATAAAATTGTTGCTGTTCAGGACATGTTTAACTTTTTTTATTGTTAAATGTTGCATGTTGCAGCCTTTCAATTTTTCTCCTTGGAAACATCCCTGGAGCTTTTTACTTTCCATGTCTGCGCTAGCCTCTTCCTTTCCCACCGTTCAGTTTCCTCGCCGTGGGAACACTAATCCAGGGGAGGGCAGAGGTTTTTTAACCACTGTGTCAGTGGGGATATTTTCCAGTAAAGACTAGTGTAGACAAGGCCCATGAGTAGGAATCTGTTGAGATGGGCATCTTTTTAGAAGAGATAATTAAAGTATGGTAGCAAACACCTGTTCTCATTTGTTCATTTCTGTGATCAAAACTTGCAGTTAGCACAGGGTGTGGCATATTTAATTGAGCCACTGAGCCTCCTTGTACTGACTCTTTTCTTTGGCAGTTATTCAGCAAAGTCAGTATAGCATTTTCAATAATTCTGATGAAGTGATATCTATTATACCATGGTTGATCACTATGAGAGTAATTTTGTAATCTTACTTTTAGAGGGAGAAAACTAAAGTAGACTCCATAGTAATAGGCTGGTTTTGTCCCCCTCAGGGTCATCTTTCTTTTCTAACCAGTATTTGAATGTGTGACACCCTGTTCCTGTATTGAATTCCAATTTATTTGTAAGCAAACAGCACTCTCTGTATGGAATCCCCATCTCTGTTCTGTTTTCCCCAGTCTGTTAACAGAGCTTGGAACCTTTGGTCTCTGATGAGACTTTGTTTTTCTGTGGCCTGGTCTACACTACAGGGTAGGTCGAATTTAGCCGCGTGAGATCGATTTAAAAATGAATGCGTCCACACAACCAACCTCATTCCATCGACTTAAAGGGCTCTTAAAATCGACTTCTGTACTCCTCCCCAGCAAGGGGAGTAGCGCTAAAATCGACTTTGCTGGGTCGAATATGGGGTAGCGCAGTCGCAAATTGACAGTATTGGCCTCTGGGCGCTATCCCAGAGTGCTCCATTGTGACAACTCTGGACAGCACTTTGAACTCCAATGCACTAGCCAGGTGCACAGGAAAAGCCCCGGGAACTTTTGAATTTCATTTCCTGTTTGGTCAGAGTGGCAAGCTCAGCAGCACAGGTTACCATGCAGTCTCCCCAGAATCGTAGAGCGTAGAATGTTTCTACGTTCCCCCCATCATCTCCGTCCCTGCGGTTATTGCAGATTAGAAGGCAAAATAATGCACTCGCGATGACACGATTTCCGAGCTCATGCAGTCCTCCTGCACTGATAGGGCACAGCTAATGCGTGGAAGCATTCGGGGCAGAGGCCAGGAAAGAATTAAGTGAGCGCGAAGAGTGAAGGCAGGACGCGATGCTGAG